TTTATAGTGAGTGGTAGCGGTTTTTATTTTAATTTTAATAATCACATTGCATAACGATTAATGTCAAATGATTAATCTTGGAGCTTGGAGGAAAAAATTGATACTCCTTAATATTTAATACCTTATTTTTAATCTATGTTTGTATACTTGTAACTAAAAGATTAATAGTATATATAGAATATATGTTAAAAAATATATTAATTGAGTATGATTGGATTAGATATGTTGTCAAAATAGAAACAAGTATTATTGTAGCTTATAAAATGGAAGTCATTAAAATTTGGAAAAAAAAAAGGAAAGTGCAAAAGGAGGGAAAATTATTAATGACATCGTGACAAATGTCATCTTAGGTTCGCTTTTAGTATAGGTTAATTGATTAATCATTAATGTTATAGTTGTCTTAATACAAAATATTCGAGTTTATCAAAGACAATAATTTTTTTGCAGTTCACTATCGAGAAAACTTAAATGTATAGTGTTATCAAAGAGAATTTCCCCAAAAAAATTAATATTGAACTCTTTCATTTCAAATCATGACCACTTTCTAACTCTTTCATTTTTTTTATCTTTTTATATTTTGGCTTCATTACAAGTATATATATTGGTGAGTAATAAAGAAATGTTTCAAATTCAAATTATTTTAATTGTTGCATTAAGTTATCTATCATTCAAAAGCAAACCTAAATAACCCAAATGTTCTGGCCATTAGGTGAAATTTCTAGGCACTATCTTCTCTAATGGCAAATCTAACATTTTATACAAGTGGGTTCAACTTAAATTAAAATTAAACAAATTATATTAGAAGTTTATAACTATTGATAAATTAAAAAATTACATGGAACTACGCATGTATTATATTAGATATTATTAACACATACGAAGTATAATTATTGATATTGATAAACAAATTATAATTTTATATCACTTTTCTTATATTATATATATATAATTCAATGTTTAATAAATTATTATTTCCTTATCTTTCAAATATTTGTCACAACTATATGTTTTACAAAAATAAATGGGGTCAATTGACCCCATTATAGATCCGCCTCTGATTTGCTTTTTTTTCATTTTCAAAAAAGAAAATGTGAAAGCACTGTGAGTTTAATACGTAAGTTTATTAATAAATGAAGATACACGAAAAAATGAGAGCTTCTTTATTCTATCAATCCATCATCATCATCGTCACAAAATCAGAAGGAAATTCTTATAGTGATCAAATGAACCAAACATTAAGTTTTAGCATTAATATTTCTATTTTTAGTTCAACATAGCCTAGAATAGATGAATCAAATTAAATGGACCGATCTTTGATTTTAATATATAAAAAATATTATTTACACACACATGAACATTTAATTTGCTATGTGTAGTATGTAGTTGATTAGTAACAAGATGTTCTAATGAAATTTTGTAATTTTTGGTAATAAGATATTCTAGTGAAATTTTGTAAATTTTAGGGTTCCCTACGAGTCTACGACCCTACCTAAATAAATGCTCATGTAGTGGTTCTTCTCTCTCTTTTTGGTACTTAATTGCGTTATTTTTTTTTGGCAACGTATTTGCATATTAATGTAATGCAAAGTTGATGACTTAAGCCAATTTTGGCATGTTGACAATTTCGTCATTTTGGCTTAAGCCAATTTTGACATGTTGCAAAGTTGATGACAATTCCATTTTACGCAAATCCGTGTTCAATGAGATATATATGTTATTAGTGTAATTGTGTGTTGTATCTCTCAGTCATTGTTGTGTTTTATACTTGTGACACGTATAAAAGGAAGGTTGGCATAAATATGATCAAAGTGATAATTGAACCTCGGTTATTTCAAGCGCCGCATAGGTGAACTTGTCCTTAAGACACTATGCTCCGTATATGATATATCAAAGTTTCATAGTCCTAACCTAACTGGGCCAGCAACTTATCCCATACCATCTCATTTTATTTCAAAATGGCAAATATTATCCAAATAATTTAATCACATTATCTTTATATATTGATTAGATTTTAAAATATTTTTTTCTGGAAGATTTCCAAATTGGTAAAAAGGAAGTAATTAGGGGTACGAATTACCAAACTGACAAGAATGACCTTGTATTTTTTAACATATTACTTTGCTTTGACTTTTACCCTTTTTGCGCTTAATTCATGATAAAATCCTTTAAATTCTGATTAAAAAACGGAGAGTGATTTGGTGAAATTATGATATGTCATTAATTAATATCAAGTGGAGGTTACAATAAAATTCAGTATGTAGCACGTAATTACTCTAATTTTTACAAAATAATATTCTCTCCGTTTCGCATTATTTACAACAGTAGCTTTTGGCTCATAGTTTTAAAAAATGATAGACTATACTTATAGGCTAATAATATAAAGTATTGTTAGTAAGTGATAGAAATAACAATAAAATAAAAAAATAAAAAAGTAGTGTGGGTGAGGTTGGTTGGACGAAAGAAAAATAATAAAATATTTGTGAAAGTTGGGTTAGTGGGAGAAAGAAATTACAAAGTATAAAACAATGGTGGGTCCTTTCTGGATATAGTAGTGTTGTAACTAATATGAAAATGACCGAAAATGAAAAGTGTTGGTACTAATGTGAAACAGAGGGAGTCGCATATATCATACTACCTCCGGTCCAATTTACTCGCAAATAAGGGGTATTATTTGTGAGACATAAAATATTCCTTTGTTGCGAGTAAATTGGACCGGAGGTAGTATACTAAATACTTGTGTTTTTTTTTTCTTTGAGAAAACTAAATACTTGTGGCTTTAACCGATTACAATCCAAATAATTAGATATCTAAATCATAATTAGCTAAATAAATAGTTATGGCTTTAACTGATTACAATCCAAATAACTAAAGATCTAAATAATAATTAGCTAAATAATTATGGCTTTAACCGATTGCAATCTGAATAATCGAAGATCTAAATCACAAAACAAATAAGGCTATAAATAAAGGCCGCAATACATAGCAAATGGAATTTATTTGATTGTTATGCTACACTCTAACTCCCTTGATCTTCTAGTGTACTGTCCATGTTATCGTCTTTTTTACCCCAAATGACGAGGTATATTCCAACGAAGATCAAAACTGCTTCTATCAAGTTGTAGAAAAATGTAATGATAAACTTAGCTTGTATTTAATCTTTTTATTATAAATAAATTTAATTAAAATTGCATAAATCTATATTACTTTCCTAGGTAAACTGGCTCATCAGAAACCACTGGGTTAACCACTGCTACCATATATAATAAGGGTTATGATGTTGAAAACTGAAACAAAGAAAGACCCTTCTCTGCGATACACCAAGTTGTGAGGAAGCTATAATCGCCTATTAAGTTAAAAATTAACCAATCAATCACTTAATAAAACTTATTAATTACTTAGTCATGTAATCAAATTAATAATTTTTGTAGTACAAAATCTTATATCCTGTAGAGCATCATGACGTCATTGATGTTGAAATTAAATAGCCAATATTAGGTCTTTCGGTTTATTATTGCGGTATATATTACGCACTGAATTGCTCCCATTCCTATTGTCAATCCACTGGAATTAGGATAAATTTGCATCAACTTGTTGTAGATTTATGAAACAATATTATAAACCAAATTTAAATTATGAAAAGAGATGTATACAAACAAGCTTATTAGTTAAAAATGAGTTATCATAATTAATTAAATATATATGTATAATATGAAATAATATATTATTTACATGTACAATATATGTACAAAAATAATATAAGTTATTATTTTATCATTATTATTAGATGTTTTAAGGAGCTTCAAGATCTCTGAGGCTCTAAGTAAAGCTAAAGTATCAACGGAGTATTATAAAGCCCAACGTGAATAACAGCCAAAGAAATATAATTTTAAAGAATATTAGTTTTAGGATAAAATATAATTGTTGCGATTGATTTTTGAGTAGTACCACATGTTGTAATACATTAAGAAGATTTGCATTTGTAGTTTGCCAACTCTCATTAACTCAAACATTCTTTTATTAGTAATATATATTTAAGAAGCATTATTTCAATACTTCAAGTTGTGTCTACTTACTACTCCAACTTTGACAAAACCCTTGATGATATTCGATCTTGTTTCTAGTATGCATTTTGAGTTTATTAGTTGGTCACATGTAAAACGCGAAGGTAATTATGTCGCTCATCATCTGGCGAAGTTAGTGCCTTTTGGGGTTGAGCAAATTTGGGAAAAACATTGTCTAGTGATGTTGCTCCGTATGTACTTATGGACACTTTGTCCTTAAGCAATGATTAATAAAATGCACTAACTTTCTCTCAAAAAGAAGCATTATGATATTGGTGACACTTGAAGAAAGTCAAAAAATTTAGAATCAATTAATTGTATTATTTGTTCAATTCATATATAGACTAATACTAGGTTAGCTCCCGTGCCATGCACGGTAGGATTTAATAGCTATATTTTTAAACTAACACTGTATATATTAAATAAAATAAAAAAAGTTACTTCGTATGTTATATACATATCAATTGAATGGAACAACAAATTTTGGCAGGAGAAAATCACACTCATAATAATCCGCATGCATCGGTCTTGTTAAGTTTTATTGAAGTATTCGTAGTTAATTATAGTAGAGTATTAATTGATTAATATAATCATCATGAATTATTCAAGGAATTAACAAAAGTTTAATTAGTTGTTTTTTTTTTTTTTGACAAAAGGGTTTCATTAGTTGATTTAATATGTGCATTTCATTATTAAAGTATCTATTACATAATAAAAAATAAAATAAAAAAATAGATCAAGAAAATATATATAATCTTGCTATAATAAACGTAGTACGTATATATAATACGTACATATATAATATGTCTTTCCTAAAACAAATACTTCATATGTCACAAAGATGATAAGAATATATTTTTTTTTCTTAAGTGTATATATATATATATATATATATATATATATATATATATATATATATATATAATCAAGGTTTTAGACATGAGCGGAGTAACTAATGTCCCTCCCATGTACATACTAGACAGGTGGAGAAAGGATATTAGTAGGAAACACACTCTCGTTAAAGTTGCCTACCATGATGCCTCAAAAACAGAAGAGGTTCGAAGATATGATAAGTTGATGTTAGCCCTTGAACCTGTCGTATTGCGTGGTTCGGCATCACATGAAGCTGTTGAAGTCTTGATGGACTTGATTCAGCTAATGAGCATTAAGGTGGATGAACTTTGTGTGTTGGCAGAAGGGTCGGGCCAAGGTTCCGGTGGGGATGAAAGGCATAGTGTTGATGTGGAGGCAGTGAAAGATGCTACACCTCTAACTCCCAAAACCCCAAGCTCAGTTAATAAAGCAAGCGTTGCAGATTCCTTAGACACACCCAGTTCCACATGTGTGAAAGATCCAGAACCTCGAGGAGGTAATAATAACAAAGGCAAACCTCGAACAACACGATTTGTATCCCCAGAAGAAAAGCCCAAAGCTAAGGTTCCAAAGACGTGGTAAGAAGAAACAGGCCAAGGGGGATGATGATCACTTGCAATATAATCATGGGACTATGCAACATCATCCCTCTGAGTTCCTGCAACATTCGGCGGAGTTCCAACAAGTAAGGTTTTCTGATTTGGGTATAATAAGTGTATCATGTATGTCATATGTTCATTATTTTCATTAATCAGTGTTGTTAACAAAGAGTATTGCGTGCGGGTTTGTTTCCCCAACAACGTGTTACCTACTCAGCATTATCCCATTTCTCATTTTAGGGGGGATATGTTACACCTCCAACAGAAGCATAACAATGGTTTAATTCACAATAGTCAGGTATTTGTCGGCTAGTTAAGTAATACATTCAATGTCTTACCTTTGCGTTTTGGTTTTGGTGTATTAGATGATACAAATAAACATTTACCACATATGTGTAGGTCAACCAAGAATATTATGGAGGAATTGGGAGCGGGGGGCCTTCAGCGTTAAACGGAAGGGTATTAGCTGGTGGGATTCATATCAATCCGCAAAGTGAGGCGGTTGGTTACTTTACTAAGAATGCATACCAAGGACAACTGGATTTTGGGGATGGTGGCCACTTTATCAATCCTGGCTTTGTCCCCAACACGCCCATACAAACTCATTCTAATTTCTTTAGGAATAGTAATTGATTAATTACTTAATATGCTTGTAACAAATTCATTTCACAAGTTGTCGAGTACTGTTAGTACTGACATATTGTTATTGTACCATATTTATGGATTGGATAGTACTGACATATTGTAATTGTGCCCTATTTATGGCTTGGACAGTATGAACTACAAAAAAAAAAAAAAAAAATAGGATTTTTGGACCGGAAGATGGACTTAGTTGTATGCAGTAACTCAGGTTTCATTAACCATTTACATTGCCTTTATCAATCTTATTGCCTTCATATGTAGTTATACAATTTAAGCTCACTCCTAAATACCAACATAGGGTCTAATGGTATAAAACACATACCAATATATTGTGTGATGGTATGATGTGGTATGATGTAAATACCAACATATGACTGACGTTATGATGTAAATACCAATATATGGTGTGATGGTATATGATTAATACCAACAATAGGTTTTTTATTACTAACATACCGAGGCATTATTAATTACCATATTAGTTGTGGTTGTATTCATTTGAATTTGAATCATGTAACAAGTAAGTCTTGTGATGGTTGTATTGAATTTAATCACATCAATTAATTCACTTATGTTTCGGTTTGTTTATGATTTGGAAACCAACACACTTAATTCACGTTAATGAAATAGTTAATGGTGTACAATATATACGAAACATATAGGTCCAAGTGAAATGATATCATACCAAACAAACATATTAATTAAGAATTACAACAAAACGTGATACCACATAGTAGCAACAATAACCGTAATACAAATTACAACACTAATACATAAAATTAGGCCGATATCAGATTATACAATAACAACAGAATTCCAGAAGCATAATTTTTGTTTTACTAAATTTTACAAAATACACCCTTTTATTGTTCCGAATGGTGGATAGTCAACTGATCCACACATGTCCATACTTGAGTTGTTACAACTTTAGCTTGATAGTGCTGCATAAAGTAACGTTGGACATTAGTTGGTATACCAACAGAATGCATATGTCATTGTATTAGTAGCACAATTACCTGAGTTGGTATAACTGGACACCAACCAATTACCTTATATAGAAAGAAACCTGAAACAACTCATTGTAGTACAGGTTGGTGGTGAGAGTTGTAGCTTCTGTGAAACTTGGTTCAAATAGACGGTTCCAAACAACAGGGACACCACAAGGGCACCCATGAGGACATGTACACATGACGCGATACTTCCCTGGAATTTCAGCAACAAGTTTCACAAGGGTTTCCCGATCCACTCGAGATTCGGTAATGACTCACACAACTGGACGGAGCTCATTGAATAAGGTTCTAAAGTTTGTGCATGAATGAAGGACGATCCACACCCCTCGCATTCCAGTGCAGTGCAGTTGTACCTCTAGGGATCAACTTGGCATTATCCGCGTCGGGGTGACATTCACAATGGAGATCTACTTGTAAGTAACGTCGTGGCTTGTAGTACATTCTCCTCTTTGCAACACCGAAGCATAACAAGTGGCAAGTGGAATCCACTCAAACTACATGGAGAGAATCGGTGTAGGGTGCCACAAACAGCGTAGCGGGGGAAGTTGGGAAACTGTAGACCACTGGATTGTGAACCTGGAGATCGGGAGTAGGATCTAATACTGAAAGTAAATTTTGTGGAAACAAATTGCTAGAACCAGATTCTCGCAACTTAGTTGAACACCACTTGAAGAACTCCCAAACACCCGGATGGATGTCAGGATGATTGTCGACGTAAGGAAGATGTGGAACGGTAGCCTGTTCCCCATCAACCGTCATGACCCCAGCTATGAAACCATTCCGATCATTTTTGCTAGAGAACATAGCCTTGATTACGTCGTCCGGATTGTGTGGGTTCCCATGATAGCATTCATTGTCACTTAGATAATATTTTGTTTTATTGTAGTCAATCTCAGGTTTGGTGTTTGATTTCAAAGGATTAAAGTAGATTAAAGCTTTAGGGTGGTAAAATATGTGGTTGCCACCTCGAATCTCATTCATGGCTGTTTGTTTGGGAAGGGAGTTATGGTTTTTCCTCCTAAAGAACATTTTGTGATATTGAATCTATTATCCCCTACTATAATTTCATAATATTTAGTGTACTATGTTTCTGTAATACTAATACATTGCCTATAAATGACATCACCCATTAGTGTCCTTATTTTAGTACCATTCATGGTTGGATGGTATAGTGTAATAATACAGCATACCTACCCTTATCTAATACTTGTAACATGCATACCCTTATCTAGTATTGTAACTGATATACTTATTTAGCTATATTTATCTAATTTAATCCGATGTTGAATATCATCCTGATTGCATTAGGTATAAGTTAATACAAACATCAACACCATCCTGGTTTTAATTAGTATTGGAACAGTGGGCACTGTGACGGATGCGAACTCAGATTCCAGCACCACCACTGATACGGATGGGAGTGAAGAAATATAATTATGTGTTTTGATGGTATTTACAAGTTAATCACGGAATTAATTACACAAGTAATTACTCCAAATGTTTGTTGGTGAAAAATTTTCCATTTGTAATGGTTGTTATGTTTTGTAATGATGTCACAAAACGTTTATTAAAATACATTGCTTTCTCAAACAAATCCACAATACTATGTTTACATAAATAGTATGATCATATGACATTTTGAATACCACAATGTTGGTGTGAATATCAAGATTCCAAGCCAACTAACACCATCAATTTCACAACTGGTACCAATTTAAATCGTAATGGTATGAAAGTAAGATACCAATATTTCTTTTGTTGGTATGAATTTCAAGATTTAAAGCTATAAGTCATTGGTATAAGCTATTATGGATTCATTGGTATAAGTCATAATACAATGGTATCATTATCAAACATACTGATATGTTAATATTTGTACACATAATTCCTAACATAATATAATTGATACCAATATTTAATTGATCATCATATAAATTGATACCAATATTTAATTGATACCAATATTTAGGGCAATTTTGTTGTGTCCTATACACCAACATAATATAAATTGATACCAATAACATTTTTGTTGGTGCAAAATTTCCTACATCTCATGAATTAATTGTAAATGTGTTAAGTTTTCAAAGTTACAACTAAAGGTCTCAAATGTGTTAATATATAATATACGGTTTTTTCACCAAATACCCTTGAACTTTTCAAAAATTCACCAAATACTCTCAAGTTTTTCAAAATTCACCAAATACCACTGACGTTTGTTAATATTCACGCCGTGACCTCAAACTACCCTTGACGTTAAAGTTCCATTAGTAATAAAATTTAATTCACCAAATGCCCTAACTTTGTTAAGTAATTACACAAAATACCCTTATTTTTGGAAGTACAACGTCTAGTTTGAAATTTAAGAAAACTTATCGTTAGTCTTGATTCTCACCCTTTATTTTCATAAATACTCAATACATAGCATCCCTCTTATTTGCTTAACTACAAATTTGTAACACCATGAGTTATTAATCTAAGTCATCCTCCTCAATGTATGAGAACTTTTGTGTAAGAGTTGCAAACAAATCTTGTTTTGGTAGGAGAAAATTTGCAATAACAAGTTATGAGTCCGCTAGTCCTCGGACAAGCCCAGACTGTTCACTAGGGTGGGTATAGACTAATTATCAAGCCGCATAAAAGGGGCTTGAGTTTGCTATATTATGTTCGTTGGACAAAATATGAACTATAGCCCGATCCGTTTTCATTCCAAGCCCGTAAGTAATCACCTCTATTTCATTTGCCCTTCTTTTTCTCTTTTTATGAGGTCTCCGACACTTCTTATTAAGAATAGAGGATGTTTGCAACTATTACGCAAAAGTACTCATACATTGAGGAGGATGATTTAGATTGATAACTCATGGTGTGAAAATTTTGTGGTTAAGCAAATAAGAGGGATGCTATGTATCGAGTATTTATGCAAAAAAGGGTGAGAATCAAAACTAACGACTAGTTTTCTTAATTTCAAACTAGACATTGTACTTCCAAAAATAAGGGTATTTTGTGTAATTATTTAACAAAGATAGGGCATTTGGCGAATAAAATTTTATTGCTAACGGAACTTTAACGTCAAGGGTATTTTGAGGTCACGGTGTGAATTTCAACAAACTTCAGTGGTATGTGGTGAATTTTGAAAAACTTGAGGGTATTTGGTGAATTTTTAAAAAGTTCAAGGGCATTTGGTGAAAAAACTGTATAATATAAATGGGACTTAATTTGGTATACCTACAGCCAATAAATCTCAAACATATTTTCACATACATATTAACAATATTATCAAAATGTGATGCATCGTAACATGAAATTATCACCGATTACCATAGTATTACTAGCAAAATATACATTATAAATCATTCTATTTTGGTATACCCATAAAAAAAACAAGGCATCACCTCTACTCTTAGGAAGCATCCATGGGTTGAGCTATATATTAACAAAATCATCAACCCATGGGACAATATACCAACTGAGCATCAAAAAATACCATATGTTCTGTCACTAGGATACTAACGTAACATGAACCCATCATCATCTAATACCATGATGTAAACCTAATAGCCTTCATAAACTACAAATGTATCGGCACCAAAAATAATTACAGGCTGCACTACACTAAGGAAATCAGTTTCCTACGTTGGTATACCAATCTTGCACTAAATTCTGAACCTCCGCACGACGTTCATTCGACGAGCAACAAAGGTCACCCAACAAAAGTCTCGCTCTACCAATTTCTCTTGTCTCATGCAGAGCATTTATACAGTCAAATATTATGTTACTACTCCTATTTTGAAATATTAAGTTAGTACTCCTGCTATATAATATACATGGACTTGTATAATCTTAAATTAGAGACAAAAACAAACTGTTAGTGACTTACCCAACCAAACTTGGTTTCAAACCGTTCCACAGAGTTCTTTATGCAAGCTAGCATTAATGGGCCGTCACTAAACCTGTAACATCGGCACGCGGGAATGAATTAATAAC